GGAGTCTTCTCCGTTGGGCACAGCCACCGAGGAAGAGTCTACTCGCGGCGACTGGGCAGACGATTCAGCAGCTTGTGGCGGTGCTGACGGAAGAATTGGCTTCCCTGGTGACGTTGACCGCGATGTTCGGCGCCCTACCGAATATGGGGACGCGGAGCGGTGCACTGCTTCCTTCGGCCTAGCCAGATATCCGGAGGATGGCTGCGTGCTTTCCAACAACACACCTCTGCGATTTAAACAACAAACACGCATGCACCCAGGTGCACAAGCATAATAAGTACACACAAACAGACACACACAGACACACACACACAGACACAGACACACACACACACACACACACACACACACACACACACACATGCACACAAACAGACAAGCACACATGCACGTATGCACGCACGCACGTACACATGCACACAAACAGACAAGCACACATGCACACACACACACACACACACACACACACACACACACACACACACACACACACAGGTGGGAGAACAGATAGGATGAGAACACCCGCTTGGTGTTTTGTTCTAGGTTTTAATGTACGGTATTAAAGCAGAGAAAGGCATGGTATGCAAAACCATTAGACACCAGCATAGGGAGAAATTAGGCAGTGTGCTGCACAACCTAAGAGAGAACGGCACAAATATGACTGATTTGCAAAGACTGAACCCATGCTACCACCAACAGCCACTGTATGGAATAAGCTGAGCAGACAATCCTGGCACTGCCACTGCAGCAGCCGCTGACAAGCCAGCGTGAATGGTGTGTGATTCAGGGGAAATGTACTGCACCTGGCTTCTGGGCCCTGCACTACGCCAATATCACCGACAGTGAAATCTCCTGGGCAGAATCTAGGCACGACAAAACAACACAAACCACAGCGGTCAGCGTCAACCAGTAATTCAGAACACACACACACACACACACACACACACACACACACGCATGCACAAACGCACACATGCATATGCATGTAACGCCAATTATTATCACGTCAGCAATCATGGACAATGCCCTCCTACCAATGACGGTGTGTTCGATTCGGTCATCCCATAGGTGAACTTGTCCTCGCCCTCTTGGTGGAGGGTCGTTTAACACACAGTTCAAGTATGGGTTCTTCAGTTGTCTTGACATTATCGGTGTTTTAGCTTCCTGCTCTACAATCAAAGAGGTGTTTGATCACTCTGTTGATGGTGTGTTTGATTCAGCTGCTGTACAGTCCAAATCATGTCCTTGCTCCATAGGAGTACTGGACTCGCCACTAGCACACATACTCCAATGTGGCAAGTCGTCACTTCAGCTCACCAGAAACTGGCCAACAAGTTGACTGCTTTGCCTTTGTTTCAGATGCACACACCCACGGACCAACTTCAAATTGGCCCGGGCATAGCCACAGTCAGAAATGGGGGTGGACGTGTAACTTACTCCAGACGCGGAGCGGACTCGTCGATAGCGAAGTCGAGCGCAGATGTGCCCACCGCCTTGCGCATATGCTGTACCAGCAGAGCAGGACAGAAGGGTGTGAACAGATCACAACAATGCCACTTTCTTCAAGAGTCAACAGCACTCCAGATGCCACAACAGTGCAAAATCAGCAAAGTTGATCCCGTCAAAAGTTGGCCTAGCATTTGTAAATCCCTACCTTTAAACCACATACAGCAGTTGCACCAGTGGCACTAGCAGGAATATTGTAAATATACAAAATTTCGGCAGCTAATTAATTTCGGCTATATTCGGCACCGACCCCAAAACGCCGAAATTAAAGCGCTGATGAGATTTTTTACATCGGCTTTGGTGATGTACTACTACTACTAGTATTAACCCCGTGCCGAAAATAAAATTAATCGCTGCCGAAATGTCGAAAATCGCGAACTGCCGAAATTTTGCAGTGCCGACAATTTGTGTATTTACAGAAGTGTACTAGTGAAGAGTGTGGTCATCACCAGAGGAACGCGGTGGAATGAGTAATGGTGAAGAGTGAAGAGTGTGGTCATCACCAGAGGAACGCGGTGGAATGAGTAATGGTGGAACCAGCCGATGCACTACTCACTTCGTGTGCTACAAGAAGAAGATCCGTTGGAGCACCTGGACGGGTGGCTCGAGCCGACCCTGCACAATCATGTTCAACAAGCAAGCCAGCACATGCACTAGTAAGCACGATAACATGTTAACAATAGCACCTGCAATAAGTTAGCAATAGCAGCAGCAGCAGTATGCCCCATGGTCAACAGAGTTCAGAGCAGCAGCAGCAGCAACAGCAGCAACAGCAGCAGCAACAGCTTCAAAAGCAGCAGCAGTATGCCTCATGGTCAACAGAGAGCAGAGCAGCAGTAGCAGCAGCAGCAGAGTGGGGTGGTGAAAAGGTCAGTCTGTTGACACTGTTGGCAGTACACTGTACTAGAGTAGCAGTGTTAAAGTGAGACAAGCAGCAGCAGTACAAACACAAGAGACACCATTATGACGTACAGCGTTCTGCCTTTGCACACAGTTTGAGACGGTTGGCAAGTTTCTTTTTCTGTGTGAGCAGGAGAAAATAGGGATGGAGCAGTACAACATTGAACATATCAATTCAAGAAAGGTTGAGCAGCACCATGGATGGCCTTGCTTCTCTTAGACGTCGGAAACAGGGCCATTGTGAAAGATATACTGGTACCAAATTACTACCAATGTCTGTCTGTCTGGTTTAAAAAAAACTAGACAGACAGACAGAACAAAAGAAAGGAGTGAACACAGAGACGCAACAGTGAGACAGCTAGAGCAAGCGAGAAACATACAAGACAGACGCAGCGAACAGATAGCCACAACAGGGAGACAGTGGCGTGCACAAGGACAAACGTGAGCACACACCGCGTCGAGGAGCTGGTCCAGTTGTGCCGATCCTTGTCCTTCCAGCGATTGAAGAAGAGAATTAAGCCTGGACACAACGAGCAGAGTAAGTAACCTCATCGTAGGTGTTAATAGCAGAGTATAGTTTATTCTATATGCAAATCATGATCTTGTTCTCTTGCTCTCGCTCTGTCTGTGGCTGTGTCTGTCTGTCTCTCTCTCTCTCTCATTTTGCTCCCTCTACATCGCACATACCTACTTATTTTCTATTCTATTTAATTTGTTTGCATTTGATGCTTGGTCCTGCCGCTGAATCCGAGACCCATGGCCAGGGGAGATGGGCCCAATTCATCAGCACGCTGCTCCGGCTCCCCGCTGTATTGTCACGTCTGCCCCTTGGTTCTGCTGTCTCCTTGCGTTCTCTGCTGGACTTTGCATAAAAAAATAAGAAAAACCATTGCTATTCGTCTTCGTCATGCGACTGTGTTTGTACAGAACATGTACACGTCTGTGGTCAGTGAAGCCAAGATAGCCAACATCATGTGAGCCATCGTATGAGCCAAAGGTAGCGAAAAGAGTTCATAGCAAAAAAAGCTTTTTTCTTCAATTGTTCGTGACCCATCACCAGGAAGGCATAATTATGTCCTGGCACCAGCTGCCAACACTCAGTCTTGCGGCGAGATTCGGCAATCGTGGTCTTTCCCAACAATGTGAAATTGGTACACCATGGCGTCCTGGCAACAAATCCAGGCGCGGAAAGAAAGGACGCACTTTTCCTAGGCATACAATGCACGCACTCTGCCGGATGAATAGTGATTGACACGCATATTCATCTCCATCTACTCAACCAATTGGTTGTGGAGCACTTAATCAATGGCACAGCATATCGTATGGATTGCATGCCTCGATAAAAAGAGACGAAAGAACAAAAAGAGAATCCCATCTTCTCCCATACGAACTAAGTTGGTGAGTCAAGGACATATTTAAAAAATTGAAAACATGGAAAACAGTGGGGCACCAGGTATGCGCTATCAAGCAGTGCTCAAGCTCACATTCACGTCACGGAATGTGTCAGTTCAGCTTTGTGCTGAATTGTGCACATCTGACTGTTCAAAATCTGGTCTAGTTGGTGGACTCTAACGACTAACTTGTGCCCCACTGTTTCCATGTGTTCTCCTATGTGAATAAACACCAAAATCAAAAACTCACTCATTTTGTAGTTGGGAGTGGAGGTCACACACATGGGCTGTGAGTGCTTCTTTGGACTCATGACATTCACTCTTCAATTTGGAAAGAAGGTGGTTGATTTTCTACAAATGAAAGTCCATAGAAACAAAGCACTGAGCCAAAAGGACCAATACATAGACGAGCCTCACGATGATAAACACACACCCATGTGCACGCACACACGAGCGCACGCATGCACACACGCGTGCCCACAGATGACCACGGCGCCACTCGCACGTGCAATCCTGTCCGCATGAACACGCACGCACACGCACACCACACACACACACACACACACACACACACACACACACACACACACACACACACACACACACACACACACACACTGTACTTGTTGCTCACTGCCAAAACTGGTGACGTGAGTCCCCCCCCCCCCGGAGAGGGGAGAGACTCGAAAGGAATCTTGGAAAGATGACTCAATTGGTTATCGAACCGCCCAACGGCCGACACCCCCTGAACTCCCCAAAACTCGGGGTGGACTTGAAAATGATCCCACTTATGGGCTCACCACACCTCAGTAAGTGGGTGAGGACAAGGTGCAGAAAAAGGATTGACGGTATCAGGGTATCCGTCCTGGGATCCAACTGCAGTTACCCCTGCCCCACAGTGAAGGTAATACATGTACTTGCTACTAGTACGAGTGGCTAAATCAGAGTGGATCTGATGAAAGCTTCACTAGCACCATTGATTACACAAAAGTTTAATCTAGCCAGAAGCAGTCCATGGACACGCACACACACACACACACACACACACACACGCACGCACACACACACACACACACACACACACACACACACACACACACACACACACACACGTACAATAGTATCTGATACTGGCATTCGTCAAGCAACTGGTGACCAATATGCCATATGGACACATAGGCTCCTTCCCGAGTATGAGGGCTCAGGGTTGTACCGCGCATTCCTGCTCGTGACACAGCCGTAAGGGCTGGAAGAGAGAGTGGTACGATCCACATTCGATTGGTTCGGAGCGGAAGAACACTATGTTCTTGGCTCTTTGGCAACTTTCTGCAGCCAAGACGTAGTTTTGAACCGGAAGAGGTAAAAGCTTAGCCGACTTTTCTAGTCTATAAATAGGGATTTCAGTCACGTGATCTGCGGGGGCAAAAGTACCTTGACACGCATGCATGCATTTTGAATGCCAGGCATGGCACAGCTCAGAGCGGGGTCTTCGGCGTAGATTTTAGGTAGGGAGAGTGAGTTTATCGCCATTTTTATTGGCGCACCGTTGAAGAGTAGGTTTCAAGCTTTCGTTTGGTGCCTCACACGGCGAATTCGTGCCGATATTACGCATCTCGATAGATTCTTGTAGATTTCAAAGTCGCTTTTGAGGTGTTTGCCTTGGTTCCACACTCAAGCATCAGTCAGAATCAGATTCTACGGCATCGATTTAGTCAAGGTAGGTTCCTTCAGACGGCATGAAGGGTCGCGATCGGTAGCGGAAATTGTTTTGAAGTTGAACGCCATTACACAGTATGGAGGTGGAGAAGAAAGACGATTGGCTTCCGCCTTCCTCTGTGTTCATGGTGTTGTCCCGGGCAGTAGTTGAACTCCCGTTGAGGGCGAGAAGCAAAAATTATACCAAGTAAGTTAGCATAATTTGATTTTGCTAGTTGCAGCCGTGGATGGAAAGGATTTCGAGACGATGTGAAAATTGCCAGGAACAAAATCGGGCGTATCAGACAGTGGAGAAAAAATTTGCTGAAGAACAAGGCAAGTGACGACCTCAGTGAATTACTAAGTCATCCTTTTGAACTGCCTCTCAATCAAATTGTAAAGCAGATAACCACACACTGAACGAAAAATCGTATCTTGTGTCTGATTCTTGTCCAAGAAAGAAACATTGAACTGCAAGGACAATTGTGGGCTGCAGGGATTGCAAATTGCATGGATTGTATAAGTTTGGAAAATTATATCAGTGTTATCAAATTTCCACACCTGAGCAGTCGTACGTGCTGAGGTGTGGACATTTGCAACAGTTCATGTCCACGCTGGACCAGCCGTTGATGTCAGTGCTGAAGCAACAGTTGATGTTGATGCCGGCGCAGCAAATGATGGCGCTTTGGAGCCCGCACCCGACATAGCAGGTCTTGACCCTGTGTGTGGCACCAGACTTGATCTTCCATGTGTCATACAAGTGCGTGGTTGTTCCAGGCTGGTATTTTACTGAACTTATCTCTTATATTATAAATACTCACCGCTGGCTGGCTTCTGTGTACAATACTCAATAGCCTCTAGTATGATCGTTGTGCGGCTAATGACATTTTTATGTGCGTCTCTGACTCGTTGCAGCCGAAAACGGGCCCTGTGTGACATCAGAGCTTGCTGTCTACTCGTCTAGTTTCCCACATGCATACTATATAACTTAAATGTTGTGTTTGCCGTATTTCTGTCATATTCCACCTATTACCATGTTGAATTATGCGTGAAATATACTGTTGCTAGGGCCATTGCTAAGGACGCCATTGCTGCGGTCATTTGGAATTTTGAAAAAAAACTTTTATCTTCCGTTCCGTCACAACCAGGGCCATCCTTGATCCAAGTTTGGCCACGATCGGATGAAGTTTATTTGTTGCTATGGTGTTGCTAGGGAGTATGGGAATTCCATTTTGTGCCATCCTGCAGATCCAATTTGTATGTGTGTTCATCAAGGTTGGTGCGCTATGTTTGAATGCTCATAACTTTGGAAATACTGCTTGGATTCCGTTCAAATTTTCTGTGGACAGTCCTTACACATAGATGCTTCAGGAAAACTTGTTAGTTGGAGCAAAGCGCTGCTCAGAAAAAACCGCCTGAAATCCCTACTATAAAGGAAACAGTTCTGAGAGGGGTAGTGCTGTGGATTGTGGGGGTGTCAACTTCCCAGCTTCAGTTCAGGTCGTTCTAGTGCAGAAAAAAACAGGGCACGGCCAACTTACTGAATCCGCATGCACCATGGCGGTCTTGGCGGAATTAATCTGCTGCTGCTGCTCCTGAAGAATCGCCGTCAGGTTAGAATGCTGCAATACGCCACCACAGGACAGCACACACAGGCACACGTGTACAGGTTTGTTAACATACTACCGGCATGGGATACAAAGTACATACCGAAGTGCAGGTATACGTGCAAGACTTTGGGCATGCTATCATAGTACGCACATGCAAGTGCAGCGTTGACCGCTCAATGGTCCCTTTTATCCAATGTCAGTCAAGTGGAAATGGCGCCCGTTGGTCGCCCTTGTTCTAGTGGTCCTCCGAGAAGGACGGTTGCCTTACCGGAGTGGTCCGTCACCCTTGATAAGTTTTACTGTATCACAGTATGGCTATGCAGGATTACCAGTTATAGCAGCATACAGCAGTAAAACTATTTTAGCACTCGCACAGTACAGACGTACTCGGCGAAATCCGCCTGCCTGCCCGCCCCAATCTTTACGGAAAGATGGACACTCCTCAATGAAGTGGCCCAAGGTACAAATCTCTCAAGGCCGCTAGAGGTACATTTACACAACGAAGCTTTGCTGTAACTGTGTGCTCGGGCTTATACACCAGTGAGGGTTTGACACTGGAAACTCCGGTATACAGTGGTAAGATGTCCATGCCATGCATCGTGACGCACTGGGACTGTGTACTTGTGTGAAATGTGAGATAAATAACCCACAGGCATGCACATTGTGCCCGCTACATGCACAAGGAAAAGGCTCAGTCCTCACTCAACCCACGCTCAATCCACACTCAGTCCAGTTCAATCCACACTTAGTCCAGCTCAATCCACACTTAGTCCAGCTCAATCCACACTCACAGTCCAGCTCAATTCATGCTCAGTCCACGCTCAATTGATGCTCAATCCACGCTCAAACCACACTCAACCCACGCTCAACCCATGCTCAATCCACACTCAGTTCACGCTCAGTCCACAATCAATGCACGCTCAATCCACTCTCAATCCACGTTCAATCAACGCTCAATCCACACTCAATCCACGCTCAATCAACGCTCAATCAACGCTCAATCCATGCAACTTACTGCCTCTGTAATGCTGATAACGGAACATTGCTTGTGCTCACTGACGAAGCAGGCAGAACACAGGGCAGTACTGTGGTGTTTGCACCACAGCACAATGGGAGCGCCAGCATGATTGTCGCATTCCGCCTGGAACAGTGGCCGCAACTCGTGCGCGGATAGCGCCTTGGAGCGTGCGTGCGTCGTCTTGAAGCAGTTCTGACAGAACTTGCCACACGGGCAGATGCCGACCGCCTCCGACATGCGGCAGTGGGAACATACCGTATCCTCGAACGGCGTCGTGGGTGTGTCGGCAGGGTCCGGCTGGGCACTCTGTATGGATGCTTCAAACCTGGCAACCAGCTGATCGCATGCTTCGACACCAGCACTGCAAAACAGGACAGAAGAGAAGTTGCGCACAGTAGCACACCATATGGCAGAACACCACGATTAGATAATCACTTGACAACTCCGGCTCACTGGGGCTGTACATCTCACCATGGTCACACGGTTGGCCATAGCCCCTCCTAGACTCCCTCCGTATTGCCACTGATGATATCTTTAATCGCTGTAAGGCGAAACAAGATAAGGGGCCATACGTAAATATAGATATTTATTTAGAAACGAAAACTACTTAGTAGCCGTTTAGGGGGTTGAGCGCCTATTCGTTTCTCAAAAAAATGTCGACGCACAGTTTCTATGTGTGGGCACATTCAGAAAAAAAGGAAAAAAATATCGATTCTGTGCACCGTTTGTATGTGTTCGTTTCTCAGGGAGAGGGATCCGGGAGGGGGGTTGAAGAGAAACGACTAGTTTTCGTTTCTAAATAAATATCGGTATTTACGGATAGCCCCTAACAATACACGATGTGCACATCATGCGGACTATGAGGCTTGAGATCAATGATGTCAGAAGTCAATAAATAACAACTTCTGGCAAAGTATGCCATGTGACAGGTAGGCCTCTCATGGAGCATGCTAGTGCGCCGTGTTTACTTCACCAGCAATGGGTCACCTTACTATGAAGAAACTGCTCCAAGCAGGCATGAATCCCTAGAGAAAAACTACTACGAGTGCATCCAACAGGATAATCCAAAAGACAGTTTTGCCAGGACTCCAGCCCGGCTGTGACATACAGTAGGCTGTGTAATGTAGACTGTCCAATGACCGTGACGTAGGACACAGTGGTTCCACGAACATCCCCCAATCGTAAACTCATTGGTTATTAGAAATAGCTAAGTAGTGGGGCATCGCTGGCCATAAGCGAGGGTCCCTGGTTCGAGTCCTGCTGGTGACAGTCAATCTTTTCTTCAGACTTTTTCTCATTCGCACCTTCCCTCAAACCAATGAATACGTTATAAGAAATCGAGAAAATTGAGTGACATGAAAATTGGGCAGATTGCAGTATGACTTTCAAGCCTTATTAATTTTGATGCCAAATACCGGTACATCCCCGACTACACACAATCCCGTCCATTCCAGAATTCCCTACTGTGCATATGCCGTATGATAACACAAATGTTATGGTCAGAATCCACGGAATTCAATTCTGCCGATTTCGAAGTGAAGGCAGAATTTCTAATTCCCCAGCCAGAATTCACGCAGTTGGTGTACACTCTCTCGGCACTGTGCATGCCTGTTGCATGCATTCAACAGAGTACTATAAAGAGTGATAGACTGTAAAACCAGAAAGTCTAACGAGTCACAAAGTCTAACGTTTGAACGACCAATTTTTTCGTTATTTGAAAAAAAACGTTATCACTATAGTCCGTTTCAAAAAGATTACTAATCAGGTTTTGGTCTTAAACGGTATGAAGATAAGGGAAATTTGGACACCAAAGTACATAAAAGGGCTTGCTAGGACAGGGCAAATTGTTCTGTGAAGGTTTTGGAACAATTGGACCAGCCGTTAAGGAGTTAGAATTTCGGTCAGGTTTCCGGCCTTTTCCCATGGTTTACAATTTGCCCTGGAAGCCAGTATCGATTTTTTAATCAAAACCCACGATTTATCCTTTCCTTTTTGGTCTTTTGGTTATGAATGCTGTCTGCTGACCATGAAGTTGTGAGTTCAAATCCCAAACTATCTTCAAGTCAAACTTTTTTTTCATTGTTTTGGTGACCACGCTGGTAGATCTACATGTACATGTAGAAGACAAAGAAGGTGGCTGTTGTTGACTTGTTGTTGGAGCTCGCGTTTCCTGCCGAACTGACTGACACTTGACTGGCTCACGCCATGTGAACACACCCACAACACTGAAACGGTGTGAGTGAACACGGAAGTCATTGTGCTGTAGCTACGTGCTGTTGAATACACCAGCACAACGATCGATTGATTTCTTTTTGAGAATTATTTTAGTATTTCAAGATCGCCAATTAATTTGAATTTAGGAGTCAACGCCGTCTTCTATCAGCTTTCACAGGCTTTGGTTTTCTCAAAATGTCATCGAAGTCACACAGATAGCTTTGCCAAGCCATGGCCTTGGGAATGAGTCTGTGTCGATGTCGTTTTCGTCACATCGTGACAGTAAATTGCATCGCAGCTCAAAGAAACTATTCGGGCACAAAACAAAACACTTTCGACATGTCCTCTCTGACTCCATATCGATACGAGGAAGAACTCGTTTGTTGTAAACCAGATCAGACGTAAATGTACCAAAATGAGTGAGTTGCCATTTTTCATGCTTTCGTGCGAAATATTTCTTCGAGTTCACAGTGAGTTTTTCCAGGCAGCGCTCGAGCACTCATACGGTAAGACGGCAAACTCCCCGGGCGATCGCCAGGATTGCTAATCTTTTTGAAACAGACTGTAGATGTCCGTGTAAAGATGCGCATACAGATGGGTGGCCAGGTAGCCATCGTTAAACTTTCTGCACGTAATCATGCCAAAATTACAAAACAACGTTAAACGTTTTGGTCGTTACACTTTCCGGTTTTACAGTATACGATCGCTTTCCACGGTTTTATCGAGTGGAGCGTGAGTACAGAATTCGCTATAACTTGCAGTTGCTCTTTATACATGGCTGTAATTCGCTCATTCTGGTCATGGAGAACTTCCAAGCCCGTGTCCAGAATGTGTGATAGGACGCAACTATTCCTTGCATGTTGCCAGTCACCGTAGTGTTTGCTGAGGCCAGACCGCTTTCACATTCACAAAACAAGTACTGTAAAGACAGAAATTTTCGCTAGAGATTATATTTCGCTATTTTCGCGGCCATCACACATTCGCGAATATAAATCGTCGCACACTGCTCTGTACATTGACTGTAGACAGTACAAGATCCGACTGAAGAGATAAAATCGCAAACATTTCTCGTCGTGAATGAGCACAATTCTTGAAAACGCGAACTTTGCGCACCGCAAAAATTTATCGCTTTACAGTACATCCCGTGCAGTAGTCTAAAAGAGGCATGTCTCACTGTGCAGGCCAACTCAATAGGTGGCAAACACATCTAATTACACAAACACTTCACCGTGTTAGGCAACATCAGAAAATAAATTATATCTTATACTGGAGCCCTAGGCAAGTACCAAGTGCTGAACGGCCTTAAAAAATGTGTAAGCCATGGCAACGATCCAACGGTACCTACTACAGCTAGTTCAGCATGTTTATGGGCAAGAAATCTCTGGGAGTGTGGCTGACTTACCCTCTACTTGTGCCAAGGCCATGTAGAGATACAAGTCCCACAATGTACACGTCCACAGCAAATCCCTCGAGTGGCCTTGAGGAGGCCTGGTCGAAGTAATTCTCCTTCTTCTCCTGGAAGGCACGCGAATCGTACATCAACCAATAAATCAATGTTAACTCGTTGTCCAGCACCATCCATCTAGACACTACTCTGGACATGCCACAGCGCATAACGGCATTGCTTCTGGAAGACAACCTAAGCGCTACGCACACTATCACTTCTGCGACGCGCATCACTTTTTACGCGGCAGCCGCGCGTGACACAACGTGCTCCGGCTTGCATGCGGTTTCGGACTGTGTGTGCTATGCAGGATTTCTCCTTGCGCAATATGAGAAAGACTTTCGCTCGACGCTCATTGTATCGCAGAAGTGACATTGTACAACCCGCTCAGGAGCAGTGATACTAGTGGCAGAACATCAGCCAATCTTTTGTTGGCTGGAGAAATAATTTAGGATTCGAACTACCGGAAGGCATAACATCGTCATGACGACAATGAAGTTATGTACACTTGTAGTAGTCGTTTTATGCACTGTCGGCATATTGATCTTGCACAATTGATTTCCAAGTACAATGAAACCTGTCTAACGCAAACCGCCACACAAGGGAGCGTGAACACGGTTCCCGCACAAAAGCAAGTCCCCTTATCTCTGATCATTGGACTGGAACTCATGATACATACCATGTTGCACCTGGTGGTTCTATCAGGCCTCTGGGATACGTAGCTAGTTGCCTTACTAAAGTTACAATGAGTATTTCCGGTCATAAATGTGGAAATCATGACTTCTGTCAAGATCAGCAACAGGAATTTGTTTACGATGAATACGGAAAGTGGGAAAAACAGGGTGTGACAAATGTGCCAAAGGCGATGTATATGCGTAGTGATGACTTGCTTTGCGAATCCAAATACGGTACTGCACATTTTTCACTGTTAAACTGCAATGCCAGTGGGGGGAACTCCCACCCCTCTGAAATAGGATACCTGGAGATTGAAGAACTTTCCCACAAAAGGGTACAACAAGTACCAAAACTAAATAATTTACCGGTACGTGGAGAGTGCTACCACGTGCATATTTAGACACTTATTAAAATGAAAACAGTAAAAGCAGCTTGATGACACTTCCCGCTTTTCTTGGGTCTATTCTCTTCCAAAAAAAATTAAAATCCATAATCACTCAATCTGCGGACAGAACTGTTTCGTCCTTTGTGGACTCATCAGCGCAGCACAGAGGAAATGAGGCCGAACCTCAATCCATGATTATATAGATTGAAGAAAGCCCACAAACTTGCACACTCGCGAGAATCGGCACAAGGATTCTCAAGAGCCAAGTTTTTTCTTGTTCTGATGCCCGTAAGAGACGGGTGCTTCTCCTCGCACTTGTAAATTTGGTGTCTCCTAGAAAGCAATTCCCTTGAGTCCTTGACTGTATAATCATGGTTAAAAGATACGACTGAGCTACATGTACTCACAGTGCACATTGAACACAAGAAGAAGCCTCTATTCTGCCGCAACTTTGTCCAATGGCCCAGACACCTCTCACAGAACGTGTGTCCACACGGCAGCATTCTGGGCAGCCGTAGCCTATCTGTACAAGCGCAGACAAGTCAAGCGTACAAAGAAAGTTACAGCTTGCAGACAGACCTTGGCAAGGAGGACATCATAAAAATAATGACATATGACTTCGGCACGTAAAGAGGTGACTGAGAAATTCAAGTAAAGCTAAGGAAAATGTCAGACTCAGACATAGAGCAACTATTATCTGATCCAAAACGTTTTCTGGTGACTGACTTCAGGAATGGATCACTGCAATGGATGTCCAATGAGGATACAACAGGAACATACCGTCAAACGGTAGACAACTAGACATTCAATGTAACAACACCGATAGCCCTATCACTTAGTTGAGCAGGGTGTACGGGCACAAAAGAAGACAGCTACAAAGTTAACGTTACCGGTGCATGTAGAGGTGACAGGTCAACAGTGTGAGTGCGGTGACGTGTTGCTTCTGAATGCATACACTCCCCCGTACACACCATCCACCTTGCTCAACGATGTGATAGAATAGTTCCCCTGCTGCGGTGCTGCTACATTGAATGTGTCCCTTTTGACTAGATAGTCCTGCTGTATCCTCATTTGTCATTCATTGAGGGAAGCCTTGGGGTACAAGTAACTAGTTGTGCATTACAGCCGGAGTACACCAACTACTGTAGTGTCGCGTATAAAAGCATGACCCATAGGATCCCGCGACGTGTTTGGTGGTGGTGCTCCTCGAATCAATCTCTGGCTGTGCCAAGGGTCTCACTGACACACCTCTTCCAACACAGTGCATGTATAATACTTCGTCAAATACAGTGCTGCTCAATGAAATCCGGTCGCGCGAGTCGAGTTTGCGCCGTGCACCCGTTTCGCAGCCCAGTATTCGCAGGTCTAGGGCTACACAACGCCCGGCGCGTACTTGAGTGACTCGTTCGGATTTCATTGAGCAGAACTGTAGATGATACCGAGGAAATCACACATGTAGCTCGGCAATCCGGATAGGCACACAATGCAGGGGTCAAGTGGTCTTCCTCGTCTTTATCAGATGGCTAAAATAAATGAAGGTCTAAAAACTTGGATTCATGGTGAATGACGGTAACAGTAACCATAGCACGCCATACTGTAGAACGGCTAATTTTACCGGCTACTGTACTGTACATGCAAATTTTCGATTGGCGCGGCAAAACTTTGGCGAAAACACTCCTTTCGCTAAAGCCGCTAAAATATAACCGTCGCTAAAATTAGCCAATTTACAGTAGCCAGTTCTGACTGTAGAGGTAGGTGGTGTTAGAGACGTCCTGTTTCGATGAGCTTCACATACTGACATAGTGAGGTGCATCTTCTCTCCCTCGTCACCGATATAACCATTGTCACATTCGACAGCCAGAATTTGGATCACTAACCCCAACACCCATCCTGCGTCGCGAAACTACCCGTACTTATCCAAAACAAATAGACAACAAACTCTACTAGTACATGTTGTGACAGAATACTGTGTACTTAGAAGAAGCAATGGGGTACAGGTGTGTTGAAGCTGGCGCTTGCTCACTTGTGCCCATGGGGCACAAGAATGACAAAGAATGGCCTCAGGCTGTCGTGCCATGCATTGTTGAACTGTGACCTATTTCTTACCTTTATCCAAATCATAGTTTTTTCTGCAGTTGGGACAATTGGGGCAAATTATTCCTGACATCTTGCTACACGTGGATAGTGCATGAAACTGAATTAGAATTAACTCGACTCGAGACAGTAACACTGGGCCACGAGCTCCTCTACGAGATGTAAACCGGGAAAATGTATTCCCCTAAACTAAACACAAAACAACTCAAGCAGTGCTCAGCAACCAGCGCAACGGCAGCCACTCTGGCCCAACCAAATGTTTCCAACATTTCGCCAAACTACATCAAAAGCTGGTGGATGTGTGGCGTTTTCAAGGAGTTGTACGTATCCTCTGTTTTCTCATTTACATGTTCTGTTTTGTTTTGTTTTTGTATTACCGGCTACGTCATCATGGTCATGCGTTACCATGGTATCATTGATATGGCCGGCGTCCTTGCTTGATGATCTTGTGATCGAGCGCAAAAACTGCCAAATAAATAAATTAGAGACGTAGAGTCTACGTAGTGCAGTGGCAGTGGCATGCAGTTGTAGTTGTACATTGCATGTAGTGGCTAGTGAGTAGTGTTGCTTCGGCCAGTTCGGGATATTTTTACGAGTCGATCTTCAACTGACACGTAATCGTTGTTGTTTGTGCTAGTGATGTAGCGCGAGCGAGCTCACATTCACAATACTCCTAGGATCCTCCCAGCATGTGTATCACTTTCCTTTCGAGTTTGTTTTTACCTTGGGTCTCACCGCTTCAAACCGCTCTCGGTGTCACGTTAGCAGTATTTTTTGTTGTTGTGCATGATTGTACTAAAGTACAGACTTTCTAAAAGTGTCGGAACTAAGTTACTTCGGGCCTAGCCTGGCCAGTGATATGATGAGCGAGTCGGTGGCAGTACAGCACTCATCATTCATGGAGTGTGCTGATAGCGCTCTACCGACCACGACGGTCATGGCTAGCGCTATGGCGACAGCGGGTTTGGCGGCCGCTGGCATAAGTACTGGTAACAGCGTCAGGATTCCCATTTCCACGAGCGCCATCACAACCATTGGAGCAGCTTCGGCGGATAGCGCACCCCGTCTGGCCATAGACCAGGCGGGCAGCGTGACGGGTCAGCTAAGAGATCCAGATTCTGAGTCATCCGAGGAAAGTGAGATCGATGAGTCTGATCTGCTTGCCGATGCCAATCAGAACGAGCTGACCAATCAGCTGGCGGCAGCAGGAACAGTCGGTGTGGCTGCAGCGGCTGCGGTCACAACTGTCCGCAAGCGTGGCCGCAACAAATGGGAGTTCGAAACGAACCCCGCCGTCCGGAAGCGGCAGCAGACGCGCTTGCTACGCCGCCTGCGTGCGACACTCGACGAGATGCAGGCACGCGTTGGACAGCAGTGTGTGGTGCTGACTGCATCGCCAGGGAAGGCCGTTAGTACAAACACGTTCAAGTGCTTCGGTGCATCACCGCTGGACGATGTTATCCGCGGCCATCAAGACGGCATAATGAGAGATTTGGAAACGTCACTGGAGCGACATGTGTCCACAGCGCAAGTCCCCGACCCGGACAAACACGAACTACCACCACTGGTTATTGAAGGTATCCCCACACCGCTGAACAAGATGACACAGGCACAGTTACGTGCGTTCATTCCGCTCATGCTGAAGTACTCCACTGGGCGACCGAAACCTGGTTGGGGAAAGGATGACATGAGGCCAGTGTGGTGGCCCGATGGTTTGCCGTGGCAAAACGTACGTGCAGACATGCGCTCGGACAACGAAAAGCAACAGACCCAGTGGACTGAAGCCCTGCGACAGATAGTGCGGAACTGCTATACGCATCACAATCGCCTCGATCTGCTCCTGGAGACAGCAGAAGATCCACTGGATCAGTTGAGAGCAGAGCAACACGGGGAACTGGATTTGCAGCAGATTCCAGGACTTCCGGAACAGACTCAGGTCATACTAGACTTAGCACAGCATCCCCAACTGATCCAACATATTCAGGCAGCCGATGGCACCGCCATGTTACTTCCACAGTACCTGGATGGTCAGATGGTGATCAGCCTGGCTACGGACACTGGTCAAGTCGGTGTGGATCCCCAGGTGGTTGCGACTATAGCAGTGTCCTCAGCCACTGGTGGAGTGCATACAGTTGCAAACACTACAGCGGCCATAACAGATAGCTGTGATCCCATTTTGGCTGAGCAAGTTAATGTTGCCAGTGACTCTTAATTAATTGATATCGTCACGGTCATGCGTGATATGACACCATGCAGTATTATGCTACAGAAGTAACAGAATCCCTATCTCAGTATCTGACCTAACTTGAAAAACACTCGTGTAACATTTCGGAGGAGCTATTCTTCTGGTCACATGTCTCCAGCTGAGTCGGGCACTGCTGACTTTTTTTTCTGTATTTTACGTGTGCAAACTATATTGTTTAGAAAGAAACTGTGCACCGTTGGCTTAGTTGCATCAGTTTCAGTTATAGGTTATTTTATCGCTGTATGATCTACCCGTGACATCAAACGTAACCAGTCGTTCCACTGACTGCTACTTCAAGCCACACAGCCGCAGACCGCCATGGCGTTGTGCAATTTGTTCATATGTACATGTGAGACGTGTGTCCGTAAAACGTGGAGAGACGGCCGTAGTGCATAGCTCTAGCTGTACTGTGCTTAGGTGCCCCCCCCCCCCCCTACGGCCTGGCTCCTCAGCGTTGTCTGGGTTTCTTCGTATGATTTTTAATGTGCGGTCAATGCCCTGAAAGCTGGGGTAGGTAATACTAGGTATGCGCACCACAAGCAGTGCCTCCCTTGTCTCGTCTGAACAGACGCATGGGTTAGGTAGGTATCCTTGCACGTTATTGCTGCTATCTCGTCAGAAGGATTTTACTGCCAGTGGCAAAGCTAAATCAACGTGCAACACACCCCTTGCTGCTAAGGGTGCGTGTGTGTGTGTGTGTGTGTTCATTGCGCAGCCAGAGTCGCTTTCTTTGTGCACTGCACGGTGTTTGCCAGTTTGGGCAGTATCAGTTGGCTGTTTTCAGAAGGTTCCGAGGGGCCTATCACTATCAGGATGTTCACTTGACCTACAGCCTGAGATGTTTTAGTGAGGACATGTCAGTGTTGCGACCCACGCTATTATAGGATTGTAGTGTTGCGCATTATTCACAGTGCTGTAATGGATGAAGATGACGATGGTGGAATTGACAGGGGAAGTTAGAAGTGCTACACAATGAAAAAGTACAGTCAGACCTCGCTTATCCGGTCCTCTTTTATCCGGATCCCTCATCATCCGGAAGAAAATCGTTGGTTACCGATTTACAGCATATGCCATGCATACATCCAGTATGTGTGTTCGATTATCCGGTTCCCTCGCCTATCCGGATATTTTTGTGGAAAACGGATGTGTGCGGTTATGCGAGGTCTGACTGTACAAAGAACCCCTGAACAGATGACCCTGATTGCAATTACGGAGTGCCGCCACAGGATAGCACATTCAGTGCTTTCGGAGTGGTACCCCCCCCCCCCTTAAACATTTTTTTTAAAACGGTACCACGACAGAAGTTATACCCGTAAAATTGGCGGACCGGCTAGACATGACTAAGAGAGTGCACGGAAGACACCTCATGAAACTCATTTCACCAACTTGTATAGGCGGTTTATCAAAATAATTCCATTCTTTCCTGGTCAACCACCCAGGAGAATGAAAGAGAAGAAAAACGTGTGTGACCATTATTGAGAAATGAACCCGCAACCCCTCAATTGGAAATCAACTGCACGCCACAGCACCACACGACACAGAAGCACACACAGACACACCCACACACTTTGGAAGTGAGCAACTGAAGATTAAAGGAGGACCAGCCTCAGATAATGTGACAAGAGAAAGGGACTATAAAAGACAAGTACAACTGACAGCACATAAAGCGGCAAGGCAAGCTGGGAACCACAGTAGCAATACTGAGTATGAACGGGAAGCTCCTAGACGCAGCACTTCTGCATTCAGCTGCTTCGTGAAAGCAGCAAAGGAAAAGAGACGGATGATTCTCTCCCGGCCATTCTCGCCTAGTGTCGACTGCAGTGACTCTGTTCGTAGCAACAGCTCCATTTTGGTAGCAAAACTCTCCGCAGTGGGCTGACACAAGTAGCCAGTGGAACAGTCCTCGATCGACTCCGTCGGCCCGCCACTATTGCAAGCTATCACAGGCCTGCGCATGTACATAGCCTCAACAGGAACAATGCCAAAGTGTTCATTGGCTGGTGTGTAGATCAGCGCCATGCACCGGTGCAGCAAACCAACCTTCTCGTCGTCAGAGAATGACCGACGGAACGTCACCGAGCTCTCCAGCCTTAGCTCCTTGGCCAGGGCAACGAGTTCGTCGAAATGCTCGACGTTCTCCACAACTCTGGAGTCGTAACCACCGGCCATGACTAGATGGACTCTGGAAAATTCCTTTTCTGACAGAGTGTCGCGCACTGCCGCCAACGCTTTCAGTGCAAGGGCCAGGTTCTTCTTCCGCTCATAGCGGTTGATGGACAAGAACACTTTACAGCCCTTCGGAACAATGTCATCAACGCTAATCGGTGTCCTATCAAATGCGGTGAAGTTCAGCGATGGGTAAAGCACTGTTGGTTTAGCACATGCTGTGTTCAGAATACGGAATGTTGAGGCAAATGTCTGTGCCGTGAATCCGCTGTTGACCATAGTTGAATCAGCCAGTCCAGTTGTTATCTCTTCCAGCAGGTCCAGAGGAAACCTATACAATCGTTTAAAGATGCTGGTTCTTTGAGTTAGTAGAAGGTCAGGGAAATGGCAGTAGAAGAGAATACGACCACGACATAACGCTTTCAGAATCGGTATACATGCAGATACTTGATCCACAATGATCACGTCCAACATTCCACCAAACAACGCAGCGTAGATGCTGACATAAATCATGCGCACGATGGCGCATAGTGCATACAGCTTTCCCAGTATCCGCCTCGGCAGCCAGTCACCGACGGCGACAACCTTCAGCGTTCCGTCCATGGTCTCCTTGAAGCAGTGCTCTGGGTCATGGTGAGAAGTGTAAATGGTCACCTCGTGTCCACTTGACTGTGCCGCCAAAGCAGCATCAACGACAAGGCGCTCTGCACCGCCAATGCCAAGGTCAGGGTGGATAAACGCAGTCCTCATCGTTCCATGAGCAATTGTCCTACATGTACTTCTAACCTTCAGCTTCAGTTCAGGAAATTTCAAACAGTATGTTCAAAGATGTAAAGCAAACTTACTTTGCAAAGGACTTGTTGGTACACATGCATGGTTGAGTACGTCAAATACGTCATCGATCATCGTGATCACAAGACTTGTACAGTCATGCAGATGATGATGTGCATTGTGTAAAAAACTATTTAAAACTATTATTATTATTATTAATATTATTGGTTGTGTGTTGCAACGTTGGTACATGGTAGTCTGTACAATTAATTATGTAGAAGCTTGCAAGACATAAATACTGCATGCAGTACTCGTACTACACTTTTGTAGATCTACCATGATGCAGGCATGCACACTCTGCTCTGACAAAGTAAAAAAGACAGTGCATGACATCAAGACTACTCTTGATGACATGCATGCTAGCTTGCTGACAACTCTTTTTGTTTTTGTCCAGTTTTGAAGCAAAAGCACACAGAAATGACAAGTCTTTTGAGCAAGTATGATCGTCAGACGTCACATGAACAAAGCGTCAACATCATTGACATTGTAGATCTACATTCACTGTAGACCGTCACGTGTGTAGCAAAATATCTCACAGTACGAGTCCATAGGCAAAACCAAGAGTACATAACCCCCTTGGGTTTAATATGTACTCTTGCCAGTCTTGGCATAACCAAGGGCAAGAGTCCATAAACATGGACTCTTGTCTTGAATGTAACTGTTTACATCAGAGGTTCACGACTGCTTGAAAGTACAAGAGTAGATCTGCATCTACATGATTGTACTAGTACATCAGGGAGTTGACAAGGTACAGGACTGTATTACATGTTGCATATGTATACAACCCCCTCCCCTGTACAGGGGCGTAGGAAGCAGTTTAATATTGGTGCGGCGAAATAATTGTGAGAGGGGGTCCGGGGGTCCTCCCCCTGGATATTTTTGGAAAATTGGGCCTATTTAATGCTACAGAATAATATGAGAAATAAGAATATGCATGCTGATGATAAACCGCATTGTCGATGTAAAACATGGTACCTGTACAAGATCAGAGTCGACAAGCCATCAACAAGGTTGAAATGTGAAAAAAATCGAAAATTATTGGTCCGGCGACCGCCGGGCCTGCCGGACCGGTTCCTACGCCCATGCCTGATCTACAATAACATACGATAATGGCCGAGGACAAACCAGGTTCATACGACTCGCTGATGGCATATCAGTTACAAGTACACAAGATGGAGGATACACTGGGAGGGCCGGTGCTCCTGACTGTACACGCGCCGCCAAAGACTGATTAGTCTTGTGACCACATCAAGATCAACCTTATGGCAGTTATGCTGTTATTATTATTATTAGTATTATTATGGGGTCGTGTCCCTGGTTCAGATTCACTGTACTACACCTGTAATTGTACTCTATAAGGAGCCAGCCCGGGAGGGAGGCCGAGGGTGAGCGGGGTATCCCTCCCCTGGCGTATACGGAGGGTCTGAACCAGGGGCATGGCCGGTCCCATACGGTTCATATCAGGGAGTACTAAATGTTTTTAAACCCACAGTACACAGTACACGAGGATTCCCTGGTTCCCGGAGACCCTGCCGTGCCGTGGTCTCGGTCAACCAGCATCTACACTCGGATCGCCGCACCAGGATTGAAACGAATCAAGCGAAAGCGGCTGTGCTAGCACGAGAGAGATTCACGGGCTTTTACTTTTACTAAGTCTTTAGTGGACGCGTAGAGGGCATATTGCAGACAGGTCCATTATGCAATGAAGGCAGCACCGTGTGCATTGACCCCTAGTCACGGGCGTATACTCTTGGCTATGTACTTTTGCCCACTGTCAGTCACAGCAAAATATACCATGCACTTCCCACCCAACTGATACTGGAATAGTGAGACAATTATGTATAGAGGAGTGACTAATCATCATGAATCGTGATCACCTTCTAACACAGAGCAATTAACAACCTCGGCAAATACAACAAATGAGGAAAATCCCACACCGAGCCGGAGAATGTCAGGAATGATATGCACAGACCAATCCAATGCCACGGACGAGAGTTACGACAAACTATACAAATGCACACACACACATATGCACAACACATAGACACAGACACAGACACACACACACCACACACACACACACACACACACACACACACACACACACACACACACACGCTGCATGTCGCATACTGCAAGAAAATCTTCAACGTAGCAATTGAATTGGGAAGAGCTATGTTCTATGTCCAAGTCCGACAGCAAATACGTGAGAAACAACAATACATCATAGGCTAGCAAATGTACAAAGCAGGATGTGTAAGCAAGGTTACAATTCAGCATTAAAAACACAAACTAGTGTCTACAAGTACCTAGAGAGTGTACTTACAGATCAAGCGCTGTTTAAATCTACCATCCTGTCACAACTTGGGGGTCCACGCCGACTTGGCTGGGGTCTGTAGCCAGGCTGATCACCATCTGACCGCCATCCAGGTACTGTGGAAGCAACATGGCAGTACCATCGGCTGCCTGAATGTGTTGGATCAGTTGGGGATGCTGTGCTAAGTCTAGTATGACCTGAGTCTGTTCCGGAAGTCCTGGAATCTGCTGCAAATCCAGTTCCCCGTGGTGCTCTGCTCTCAGCTGATCCAGTGGATCTTCCGCAGTCTCCAGGAGCAGATCGAGGCGATTGTGATGCGTATAGCAGTTCCGCACTATCTGTCGCAGGGCTTCAGTCCACTGGGTCTGTTGCTTTTCGTTGTCCGAGCGCATGTCTGCACGTACGTTTTGCCACGGCAAACCATCGGGCCACCACACTGGCCTCATGTCATCCTTTCCCCAGCCAGGTTTCGGTCGCCCAGTGGAGTACTTCAGCATGAGCGGAATGAACGCGCGTAACTGTGCCTGTGTCATCTTGTTCAGCGGTGTGGGGATCCCATCGATAACTAGTGGTGGTAGTTCGTGTTTATCCGGGTCCGGTGGCTGCTCTGTGGCAACATGTCGTTCCAGGGAATTCTCTAAATCTCTCATGATACCCTCTTGGTGACTACGAATAACATTCTCCAGTGGAGAGGCACCAAAGCACTGAAATGTATTTGCACTTATCGCCTTTCCTGGAGAAGCTGCAAGCACAACACACTGTTGCCCGACACGCGCCTGCATTTCGTCCAGTGTGCTACGCAATCGACGTAGCAATCTCGTTTGTTGTCTCTTTCTCACTGCCGGATTCGTTTCAAAGTCCCACTTGCTGCGGCCCCGTTTCCTGACAGTTGTGACGGCGGCGGCGGCGGCCATTCCCACGGTCCCAGCTGAAGCAAGCTGACTGGTGAGCTCATCGCGGTTGGCCTCTGTCAGCAACTCCACTTCGTCAATTTCACTCTCCTCAGACGATTCAGAATCGGGATCGCGAAGAAGGCTCATGCCAGTCATGGCGCCGCCTTCCACGGCCATGGTGCCTACAAACTCCGCCAGTTTACTCGTTGTCCTTTCCACAGTAATACACTATGACAGGCCGGCCAACCTAGCTTGGGAAAAAGAACTACAATTGTAACTTTTAATAGTCAGAGTGAAACTTGAAGTTGAACAGCTAACCACAAACAACGGGGATGATCAAGAGTACATAACATATATCTAGATCGTGTATTGTTGTTGGAAGAATGACGTCAGTGCGTAAAATCAGATCACAAACACTTTTTACCCAACATCTCGATATATAATAATTTTTTTTTTTTCAAAAACAACACTGTATTGAGCATGAGTGGTGCTTTCTTTCAGGTTTGCCGAGCGGGCGCGGAAGGTGCGACGTGCTCCTGCGGGTGTGCTCCGGATGGCAGTCGTGAGTCAGTCAAGTGTCAAGTTCGGCAAGAAGCGTGTGCTCCTCGTTGGAGCAACCAACTTCATGACATTACCGCCGAAGTCGCAACTTCTAAGTTCGTATTAGAGAGGTTAAGATGCACGTTATTTCCGACGTGACGCGCAATTTCACGTCGAACTTGGCGTAAAACTCCAAATTTCGACGTGAGCAGCAGGTCGCGCGCTCGCGTTGATTTTTCGACGTGCGAGCAAATAACGCGAGCTGAACTTTCGCGTCACGTCGGAAATAACGTGCATCTCAACCTCTCTATTGTTGTCCCTCACGCGGACGTGCGACTAGTTGTTGGAGGTCACACACAGCGTTGTGAATAGCTATACTGGCTCTCAACGTCTGTTTAGCACAACTCCATGAGCGACTCTGACTCACGCTGCTGCCTGGGGCTTCACGAGGTGTTTGTCGCGCTGGAAACAAAGCGTCTCTGTAAGTTTGTATCCCTGGTGATGGTTTGGCCTGGAGAGCAGTATATAAGTGGTGCTTTTCAGGCACAATCATCTTCCTCAGCCTACTCAAGCTCAACTGATGAGGGGTGAATTCCCCGAAACACTGTGTATTGAGCAGGGAGTGGTGCTTTCTTTCAGGTTTGCCGAGCGGAAGGTGCGACGTGCTCCTGGTGTGCTCCGGATGGCAGTCGTGAGTCAGTCAAGTGTCAAGTTCGGCAAGAAGCGTGTGCTCCTCGTTGGAGCAACCAACTTCATGACATTACCGGCAAAGTCGCAACTTCTAAGTTCGTAACACAATTTTATTGAAACAAAGAAAAATGATGGCACCTATGTACAGGGGATGGCCCACGCCTGGTATAAAGTAAACGTAAAAGAGAAAAAAGTAGTACAGTGAAATCGATAACAATAGTTCAGTTCCCACACAATACCGCTCCTGAGCCGGATCAGACCACAATCCTAGCCTCGGCAACCGCCAGTCAGTGCGGCAGAAGCAGAGACAAGGCGGTGGCAGTGGATCGGTCGGCGGGCACCCCGAAGACAGGCAACACTTGCACGCAGGAGGGCGAAGCTCAGCCGGGCACGAATCCAGGCCATGACAGAGGAGTAGGCTTCACGAGTCTTCTCGGACAACATGGAGGCAATGCGCTTGTAAAGAGAAATAGCTGAATTGCCCATGCCACCATGTGCCGAGAAAACCACAGGGATGAAGCCTGGCTTGATAGCCAAAAGCTGGGCCCCGTTCCAGGAGACGATCCCACCATACCTTCAATCGCACCATCTTGCCGCCAGCAGATGAATCATCAGCATACCAATGTTGGCATGCCCCATCAGTAGCCACGGACGTGATCAAGGGGAGGATGCCGATGGCATAAATTGGCATAGCCAGCGGGTCACCCTGCGTGGTTCCCTCCCTTGACTGAATGGTTTCTCCCCCAACATGGAAGTTGGCGGGGCTGCGGTAGCAGTTGATGACAACCGTTGCTAGGGCTGGGCATGACAGGCGGATGTTGTGGATACATGCAGCACGGTTGAGGCTGTTAAAGACGTTACTGGCGTCAGCCATCAGCACACCGTCGACATCCGGGGAGTTGTATACATCCGTCATGGCGTGAATGGTGGCCTCAATGCCACAGTCTTGGCCTGCGCAAAGTTGTTGGCTACCTGCTGCTTCCTGGATATCATTTCCAATGATTGACAGGATTGCTTTTCCAATCACACGACGGATCACCTCGCCAATTACAATGGGTCTGACCCCTGGGTTTTTGGCCAGGGGCACAAGCCGAGATGCAAGATAGGCCTCTAGAGAGGAGGGGTTGACATACTTTGTTCGATATATAATTATTAGGGAGGTTTAGTTCTCACGTAACGGAAACGCGTACGTGGGTGATCCACGTAAAGACGGATGAAGGGCACCCACGTAACCAAAAATATAAAAAAAGTCGTTGCAATGTTGTGTTTTAAGTCACACGGAACAAACAAAAGCATGAAGCGAAAGGCCCGAACCTGGTCAAAGACGAAGCTACCCGGGCCTAAGACGCTCATCCAATATTTTGATTTCGTGCCTCGGAAACTTCTTCAGCTGAGCACCCTCACAGCTCGCACAATGCGCTCCATTCTGATTTTCACCCACGTTCTGGCGGAACGTGGGTGAGCCTCCATACACGGTATGTCGTGAATCAGAAAACGCCTGTACGTGGGTCACTGAGTATCACGTGGTACACACACGTAAAGTACCCACGGATTACGTGGGACTAAACCTCCCTATATAATCAAGAGTACATAATCCCAGGGGTTATGTACTCTTGTTATCAAGAGTCCATACGTATGGACTCTTGTTATTATCTTGCTCCTATTTTTCCGGCATTTTCCGCTTCTTTTAATTCTTCGATAATTTTGCTGAGAGAGTTGTCGGCAGGATCTGTCTTATCTGGGCCTGATACTAGTACCGGGTATCTCTTAATTTGCTAAATCCTATATATAGGATTTTGTATATATAGGATTTTGGTCATATTTTTCAACTCAAAATGGGTGTGGCATGAGCATAGGGGAACGTATGTGACCAATCCTTCCGCGTTAGGTCTTAGTCGATATGGAGAGTTGAATAAGATACAAATACTAACATCTAAGGCTCATCTCCTTGCGCAATATTTCTAAGGCCTGTGCCCTATTTTTTGAATCCTATATACAGTATAGGATTTGAGATTTTACTGGACCTTGTTTTATCCTTAAAATTGGTAGTTTCACGACGGCATGTGCGATATGTCGTCATGAAACCACCCCGTGCCACACCTGTAATGTTCTTTTGCACATTCACTGCTTCAGTCCTTCCCATGACACCAGCTGAACAATGCTGCTCAAAATTCCAATCCTTTCTCAAAATGGGTAATCATGATGTCCTATGAATCTAAAAAGTAAACATTCATGCCTCAAACATATTTACAGCTTCTAATAAACCCATTATGCTCTTATTATATTATGGGTCATGAATGACTCATGGTGACCAATACACAACGGCATAAAGGTCACGCATTTTCAAATCCTATATATAGGACTTTTGCCCAGCAAATTAAGAGATACCGTGTACCGGTTATCATTATTCGAGGCAAGAGTACATAACCCCGTAGTACATAACCCCGTGGGGTTATGTACTCTTGGGGTTATGATTGTACTCTTGTTCGAGGCAAAACTGATATGAAGAGTGGTCCATGTATGTAGGCCTGGGGGAAATCAATCACAAAAGGGAAGCTGTCTTGGGGCAGGTTTGTGAGGTCTGATGATAGGCATTCGTGTCTGCTACAAACGATTCCGCTACTGAAGAAGGGCTCCTGCCGCTTGTCGGACAGGAGGACTCCAAGCCGTTTCAGGAATGCTCAGGGCGCAGCTTTGTCGCAGCCTCCTGTGGCACTGAAGATGTGGGGCAAGAAGGAGGCCTGCTCAACCTCGTTCGAGTACCATATTGGCCCGGTCCTGCGGGTCGAGCGACCATGAAGTTCATCGGCGCAGTCCTGTGGAACCAGCTCCCGCCTGATCTCCGTTCCGAGCCCAGCCAAAGAATAGTAAACGTGTTTTGCCGCATATGTATGAAGCTATTTTGTATATACATGTAGTATGTTCCCATTCCGTTTTTGCTTTGGTGTAGCCCTGAGGTTGATTTGCTTATTTATTTCTACCCTTCCTCTCTCCGTACTTCTGTCCCCCCCCCCCCCCCTCTCTCTCATTCCTTCTGTCGTCCGAATGTATCAAAGGAGGCGAAATCGCCTGTTTGTGGTGCGACGTTAAATAAACTTCTACAACAACAACAACAACAACAACCTCTCGCACCCTCTCCTAATATGCTCGCCTCTTCTCTTGCTCATGCTTGGAGTAGATCGACGTGAGTCAGAGGGATGAGGCTTGGTTCGAACGATCGAGCATGTGGGTTGACAACCAGGACATCGAGGAAAGTACGCTCGAACCGACTGCCCCAAAGGCCAAACCCCCGACGCCGCTACGTCCAGGCGGGCTCCATAGTGCATATGGCTGACCGGTGTCGTAGTTGTTCTCCACTCTCCACTCAACAATTACGTCGGTGGCAACCTCACGAAGCATGGCGGCGGTGACGTCACGAACCACCGACGGTTGAGGCATTATTATTATTATTATTATTATTATTTATTTGTAAGAAAGGGTTTGCTCCCCACACCGGAGCTCGCGCTATTCCGCCGACTTTACTTGACACTTGACTGACTAACGACTGCTATCCAGAGCACACGAGAAGTCCATCGAACCTTCGACTCGGCAAAGCTGCAAGAAAGCACCACTCCCTGCTCAATACACAGTGTTTCGGGGAATTCACCCCTCATCAGTTGAGCTTGAGTAGGCTGAGGAAGGTTGTGCCTGAAGAGCACCACTTATATAGTGCTCTCCAGGCACAAACATCACCGGGATACAAACTTACAGAGACGCTCCATTTCCAGCGCGACAAACACCTCGTGAACACCAGATAGCAGCGTGAGTCAGTGTCGCTCCTGGACGGTGAGACGGTCTCACCGTCCAGGAGCGACACTGACTCACGCTGCTATCTGGTGTTCACGAGGTGTTTGTCGCGCTGGAAATGGAGCGTCTCTGTAAGTTTGTATCCCTGGTGATGTTTGTGCCTGGAGAGCACAATATAAGTGGTGCTCTTCAGGCACAACCTTCCTCAGCCTACTCAAGCTCAACTGATGAGGGGTGAATTCCCCGAAACACTGTGTATTGAGCAGGGAGTGGTGCTTTCTTGCAGCTTTGCCGAGTCGAA